AATAATAAAAGTGTTTAAACTTCACATGGGTATAGAAGTGGCTGAAGAGTTAACACAGGCCGGGGTTGCTCAGTCGATGAAGCATCGCACTCAGAACCTAGTCATCGTAAGTTCGAGTCCCGTTTGGGTCACTCGTATTCCTTCCTTCCGAGTTTGATAAATGAGTACATCTCTGTGGCAATAACAGGATTCTCTGCCCTTTCAGCAAAGGATTCCTAGCTGATGGCAAGGAAATAGAGATGGAGATCAGTGCCTCACTGTTAATTTAATGAAATTGCCTCTTCATCTATGAAAATGCAATGGAAACTAATGTTCTGACGGTCACCAATTTTCCTTTCCTTATTAACACGCATATATTCGATCCAAGCGGAATGACTGTACATTACCCATTGTCCCCTCTGATGCAGTTAGATGAAAGGAGAATAATGAGGATCACAGTGATCTTGATATTATAGCATCACCTTGAATCTGTATCTAGCATAAGAAAATCAAGTCCCCTATCAACTGGGATTTCATTTATTATTGCCTTTAATAGAAGTCAGTGCCTTACTGCTACCTTAACTGTATGAGAGTTTAAGGTCATTAAAAAACTAAGTAATGAGTAAGCTAGACAGGCAATGCCACGATGATGATTGACTCATCTTTCTTCGTAATAAGCGGGTATAACCATTGCCTAATCTCAATACTCACGCTCGTTTGTATCGTGTGATTTTTCATTACATGTTTTCATTTCTTCATATCTCTGTTTTACCTCATCGTTTCGTCTTGGATGATGTCACCCATTTTGAGCTTGCAGCTCTTTTGCTACCATTCCGCCACTGCTGAAATCCATCATTCATCCATCAGTCATATGATGTGCTCTATCCCAGTTGTACGCAGGGCCATTCTTGTTTCCGCTTTTCATTCTGTTCGATTGGTTTTGGCTACTATCCACGCTAAACAGGCTTCTTTGGTGGAATAGGGTTCGATATGACGTCTGTGAGGCTTTTACCGCTCAGAGTTTTCCTAGTGTTGTGGGCTCGAGCACTGCGGCGGTTTCTTCTTCGCTCCCTGAAGCGGTGCCTCATCTTTCAGAGGACAATGGTTATAGATAAGTTTAACTGTACCAACAAATGCACTTCTTATTGTCAAGCACTTCACAACTCTCCTTCAATATCCACCATACCTCGTTCTTTTGTTCACTGACTATGAGCATTTTCTTTCAAGGGAATGGTTCAACGCGATTCCCTGAATCCAAAGTTATTCAGTTTCAAAAAAGTACCTCTTAGCTTCAGTGGTAATCACGTGCAACCGTATTTTAAAGAATATATGCCGTTTAACATTTTATCTTGACACTATGACACCATCTGTAACCTAAATACATGTGGTATGGAACTCAAGTCTTCTGTAAACTGTATAGCAACTTAATAAAACTTTCATCAGTCATTTCAGACTTTCCACAAATCTAGCGAAAATCTAATTTAACTGAATTTAGCAGAATTTATGGCGATTAAATCTTAAAAAATAAATAGTGACAATCAAATCAGTCAAACAAGTTTATTCCTTAAATTAACGGAAAAAACGTGTAACACTGGCATCGACTGATGTTGTTGCTAAACCATCGGGATAACAATACACATGTAATACACCAAAACAAACAAAATACACTGCAATGAGACAAAAAATAATGAATGATGAAGAGGAACAAAATGAGGGACAGAAAGTTAACATAAATGAATGTCTAAATCCCTGGATTAACATGATAGGATTGATTCGAACAGGTTTTGTCTTTCCCGTTCCTTGTTTTACCGAATCCTAGCCATCTGTGGGATTACGGATTTTCTGCATGCTTCGTTTTCGTGTAGATGCTGGCATGTTGGAACCTTGTGATTCATAATGGATCTCGTAATTTCATCCACCAGGACTTCCACGACATTCCTATTTGGCACCTGACGAGTTCTGACTACAATTTTCAGAACTGATTGAAATCTGCGTAGACCCGCTGTACGATGGAAAACGTTTTATAGAAATATATATAAATAGAGGAAGTATGAATGTTGTGATAAACATTTCCTTGATTCCTTTATGAGTTTGTAATGAAGTTAGATGTTTGAGTGAAAGCTGCACCGCCATACTTTGCTGACAACGTTTTCTTCGTGTGCATGGACGTGTGGTGACATCAAGAGAGTTTCTGCTGAAAATCTTGTCGAGCTTTTGGTTCTGCAGCGAAGAAGATGGGATGAGGATGCATTGGCTGTTGTATTATTGGAACCCTCTTTGAACCCAAGAGAAACGTTCTATGGCTTTACTACGATTAATGAATAAGCTACCCATTCCTGAATAGAAGTGACTGCGCAATAGTATCACTTAACTTTCATTATGAAGCCACTGCTTTCATCAAGTTAATGGTGGGGTACTGATCTCTATTGCCATGCTATCAGCAAGAGTGGCCTATGTTACAGGCAGAGTTGATCGGAGCTATCCCGCATGCTTAGCGTGTAGTCTAATGTTTCCACTTCACAGATCATTACTGATTTATCATTCGCTGAAAGTAAAAGGCCAGTGTCCTCAAATGGAGCTCGATCCGAGGAACATTCGGTTCTAAGTTTAACGCTATACCGATTGAACAGCCTCAGTTTAAAGCAACTTAAGGTATATTACTTATTCAAGGGATTTCGTGTTTAAGAAAAGACTGTCATCCCGCCAGAATTGAACCTGGACATCCGCACTTCGAAGCCGAGTTTGGCGCACTTACCTGCCGCTATGGCCCTCTGAGTTTCAGAGTTTCTCAGGTCAAAAACACTGATAATGATAATGAATAACAACCGAACTGACGGCTTATGGTTGCATGATTAAGTCCATTTTTTGCTGATCCTGGTGTAAAGTTCAAAATTGTTGATAAATAAGCAGGAAGTTTAGTATGAGATTCAGTTTATTTTCATGTTCTGTTCTGGAATACTATGTTCTGTCAGATAGTTTATTAAGGGTTTATTTTGCGTAATTACACGTTTGAAGAATAGCTGACGTTTTGGATCACGGTCGATCAGTCTCTAAGCGTCGCATAACTGATCCTTATCAATCAATCAATTGACTGATCCTTCTTCATAATTTACTTTGATCACCATTGTCTAGTCTCCATATCCACGTTTGTCTGTCTCGTGCGATTTTTTGCCACAAACTTCCAAATATCATTTAGCTTATCGTTCTTATGTACGTGATAGTATACTAATAGTATATATTTGTTACTTAACTCGCCCCTCGTTTCGTATAAACGCTGTTTTTGGGACTTCTCAATTTGACGGAGTTCTGATTTGTGGACACCCCTTTTCAAAAAGTAGTCCGTTGAATCGAGGGTCTACTGTATTCTTGATCAAGATTTTCATTTTGGCATGGCAATGTAAGCAGTATCTTTTGCGCATTTTCTTATGAACCGGAATTCAGCGCATAAGTAGTATGGCATCAAGGACCTGCGTCATTCGTGCCTTCTGCTTTCTACCTATCCTCGGCTCAGGGATTCAGAAGGTACGAGAAGTTTCACTACATCCTTTTACATGCAGTGGCAGTCATTGGTGACAGTTGACTTGTTTTTTGCGTTTCTGTTCACTTGTCTGTCTTGTCTTTTTTCCGATCTATCGGTTGGACTTAATTTTTTAGTATCTGCAATGATTGTTATTTTACATTTAGTAAAACAGTATCATTTGTTGTGTTGCTGCCGTTACAAGTGCGCACAATGCCGATCAATAGCACTTGTTACAACACGTGCTGAAGTCTTAAGACGTACTATCATCTTTGAAACAATGGCTTTCTTGCAGTAGCAATCCTCATGAACGCACCATAGATGAAAAGACCAGAGAACTGACATGGATGAATGTTAAGTTGTTAAAGCCTCATCGGCTTATCAGCTGCTAGTGTGACAACTCAAAGAAATCGAATGTAGCAAAGATTCGTGACCAGCACGTCACGAGTAAAACAAATTAAACGCAAACCAATTGTTAATGAAGTATACTTCTTTCGTCAACACTATAAACAATTAAATGTCTGATATCAGTAATGCGAAATTTTGAATCAAGTAATGAAGAATCTTAAGAAGTTGCTGCTCTGACATTGCTAAGGGTAGCAAAATTCATAATCCTTGTGATTTAAGCAGCAAAGTTCACGGGCACCTTCCAAAGGGGGCAAAAAGTAAAATTTAGTGGATATATGTTATGCCTCACGAGGCCAGCGTGAAGGTAAGACTGAAAATGAACAAAAGAAGATTGGTAATGTTTAACAAAATTATGTCTATTTTGGACAGTTCGTCTGTGCAACAGGGTCGAATATATTAAACAAAAGAATAAAATTGGCAAGGAGTATTTTGGAAGGCTAAAAATGTTTCTGTCTGAAAAATGAAACCGAAAGTATTCGATCAGCTTACTCCCAGTGGTAAATGATGGGTGCAAGACCTAGACCCTAAACTTATTCATTGACTCAAGACTACGCAACGGAGAATGGAAGTATATCTGTAGGAGTAGCAAGAATAAACAGGAAGAAAACAAACTTAGCCTTTGCCGGTACCAAGCCCGGAGGAGAAGGAAGGGGGGTTCAGGACTGTGGCGAGGTCTTCATGAAACTTAGCCACCTGCCTCTCATGGTATTTCTTCCATCGAACGTCATACCGGTTCGGTTTTCGCCAGAGTTCGGGCCGCGCAGACTATTGGAGGACTGAGGCAGGCAGCGAAAAGAGCTGATTTCAACCTACCTGCTCATCACCCTCTGCCAGCCGGGGGCGTAGTAGCACAACAACGGCTGACGAAATCCGACGGAACGGCAATGAAGATTCCACTCAGCAGAGGAGTCGCTACCCGTTCTGAACGGAGGAGGCAGACAGCGCAATGCCATATCAGGAAAGGCTCCACGAAAACGACACCACTAGTGGGTGCTTAAAGTCGGAAAT